CTCTGCTGGCCACTGTGTTGTCCTACGGGCACATCACCCTGGCTGTCCTGCACATCCCCTCAGCTGCTGGCCGTTGGAGAGCCTTCTCCACCTGTGCCTCACACCTCACCGTGGTCACCATTTTCTACATGGCCATGATCTTCATGTATGTCCGGCCCCAGGCCATTGATACACGGAGCTCCAACAAGCTCATCTCTGCTGTGTACACTGTCCTCACCCCCATCCTGAACCCCTTGATCTACTGTCTGAGGAATAAAGAATTTAAGGATGCCTTGAAAAAGGCCTTGGGCTGGGGTCAAACTTCACAGAACAATTAAGTGACCTGGAATATAATTTGTGTTGATAAACCAACATCGTATCTGGCACTTTGTACTCCTTAATTTTAATTGCACTTCACTGTGTACAAGTAAAGAGCCTTCATCTAGGTGTGTTTTCACAAAAGGACCAACTCACAGGAGCGGCTCTCAGAACAAGAGTGAGAAGCTTCCCTCACGTCTCTCCCCTCACTGTCCCTGCCCTGAAATAACCATTAGGCTGATTTGTAACACCAGGTGCTGGTTGGGCGTCTCTGAGGTTTATGGGTGTAGTCAGAAGCCCTTACCCATCATACTCAGCGTCCTTCCGTCACCACGACACCTGGGTGACTCTCTGACGTATTTGTGTGTGGTGACAATGCACACATTCTCACTGGTGCACAGTGTTTGTGGCTACCATAACACTCTTATAGGTTTGATTATTGTGGACAGCATACAGCTGCTGTCCATTATGGATAATGCTGCTGTAAGCATTTTGATTAATATGCACACAGGTGGATGCAAGTACAGGTAGTATACACCACTGTAATTGCTGTAACCTAATGTGTGTCCCATCAGGTTTAGTAAAAACGAAAAACTGGTTTTCCAGAGTTGAACGTAGAAGTTTTTATTTTTGCTGGCAGCACAGTAGAATTCCCATTCCTCCATCTCCTTACCGACACTTACAGTAAGTCTTATACATACTTCCAATTTAGCCACTGTTCTCCAGCATTTCATCCTGACTCTAATGGGCACTCCTTCATGACAGAGGGTGCCAAACACCTTTTAACATTTAGCAGCTGTCGTCCCTTAGAAGGCCCTTTCTGAAGGGCCCATCTGATTATTTTTATATGGAGCCTCTTTTTCTCTTTAACACACAGGAATTCTTTTACATTCCAGACCCAAGCTCTTTTCTGACTATATTTATTGCCAAAATGTTCCTGTCTGTGGACTTACCTTTTTTTTTTTTTTTTTGAGAGAGAGAGTCTCATTAAGTTTTTTTTTATTAGAAATGGGTCTCACTCTTGCTTAGGCTGGTCTTGAACTCCTGAGCTCAGGCAGTTCAGCCACCTTGGCCTCCCAGAGTGCTGGGATCACAGGTGGGAGCTGCCATGCCCAGCTAAGTCTATTATTGGGGTCTTTCATCAGTGTTTGGTACTTTTTAGCACACAGAGTCTATGCGTGTTTTGCTAGATTTGAACCTAAGTGTTGTGTTTTCTTTTGGAGCAATTGTAAATTCCATGGTTTCCACCTGTTTATTGTTAGTATATAGAATACAGGTGATTTTTGTGTGTTGCCCTTTATTCTATAATCTTGTTTTTTGTGTGTGTGTAGATTCCTTTGAGTTTTCCCTGTTAACCATGTCATTTACAAAGTTTTCTTTCTTTCCAATATGTCTGCAGCATAGATATATATATAATTTTGCCTCACTGCATAGGTTAGAACTTCTAGTGCTGTGCTGCCTACACAAGGAGAGCCAATGTCCTTTCCTTGTTTCCTAAAGGGGGAAAAGTGCTCAGTTGTGTAAACATGACTTTAACCGCGTGTGCAGCTCAGCTGTATCAGGTTGAAGCTGCTCTTCAGTCTTTGTTTGCTGAGAGACGTTTTGTTCTTATCATGAATGTTAGAGACGTTTTGTTCTTACCATGAATGTTAGAGACGTTTTGTTCTTACCATGAATGTTAGCTAGCTTTTGCCAGATGCCTTTCTGCATCAGGTGATCTGATCATTGATTTTTCTTCTTCAGCTGTTGATAAGGTGGATCATATTGGTTAATTTTCAAATATCATATTAACTTTGCATTATCTACATCAATCACTTTGGTTCTGATACATTGTTCATTTCAATTTATCCAAATTTTTGTGTCTATGAGAGGTATCAGTCTATAGGGGTTTAAGGTTTTTGTACTATCTTTGTATGGATTGGAAAGTATTCCCTCCTCTTGTATGTCCTAAAGGAGATGGCATAAAGTTACTGTATAAGCACTTGGGAAAATTCTCCAGTGAAAATATGAGCCGGGGGGAAGAGAGGCGCAGGATTTTAAAATTACAAATTCAGATTCTTTAATGGGTATGGGACTATTCAGGGTATCAACTAATTAAATTATTAGAGCTTACATTGGTTGTTTTTATTTGGTTCCTTTTTTCCCCCTTACATTCCAATGGATAACTTGTACTTTTCTTTAGAATTGTCTTGATTTACTTATAAAGTTTTGGGAAATACCATTTTGTTTTCCCATTTTTTAGTGGTGGTTCTAGTATCACAACATGTGGATGTACTTCTTGGAACCCACCCCTGTGGCTGTTTCTCTGCTTTCTGGGAAGTATGAAAACACTTCCTTCATCCAGGAGCTTTGGATACCAAAGCCAAAGATGGGAGAATTATCCTGCTTGCTGTGCTCTGGTCCATGAACAAAGTCCATTTCTCCTTTTGCTTGGATCTGCTTGGATTTCTTCCACCATTCCCCCACTGTCTAAACATGATTACTTTCTGCACAGAAAGCAAGCATAATGCCATAATTTTTGCTTCAAATGCCAAATGTGGCTTTTAAAAACTCAAGGATATTCTATTTCCCCTTATTTTTTCCATTCTATTGTTTTTCCTTCTGAAGTTCCCCAGCCTCCTGTTACCATGTTCTGTACAGAGAGCTTCCTTTAGCCAAACTTTAAAGGTGGAAGAAAGTCAGCTGGAAACAAACCCTCTTGGTTTTTCTTCATTTGACAACATCTTCAGTTTTGCTGGGTATAGGATTTGCTGCACAGGTAAGCGCATTCTTCTTCTTGATCAATCTGGACCCTACAACACCATCAGGGGAGCTGGCACCACCTGCAAGGGGACCAATCAGGAGCCTCACTGAGAACAGGGGGCTGGAAAGTAACAAAAGAGGAGGGAACACAACCAGAGTCTTACCATGCCACCCTCATTAGAGTGCCACGGGGTCACAGCTCATGGCAACCTCAGACTCTTAGGCTTAAGTGATTCTCTTGCCTCAGCCTCCCAAGTAGCTGGGACCACAGGTGCCCACCACAATGCCCAGCTATTTTTTGGTTGTAGTTGTCATTGTTGTTGGCAGGCCCAGGCTGGATTCAAACCCGCCAGCTCTGGTGTATGTGGCTGGCTCCTTAGCCACTTGAGCTACAGGCGCTGAGCCAGTGATCATTCTTTAAACTCAAGAGTTTACCAATACCTGTCATTTTGGAAAGTCCAAGTGAGAAAGATCAGAAGAATAACTCTTAAGAATTAGATTCCTGTGTCAGACACTAGCAGTCAGAGCTTTGCCTGTAACTTGGGAGCTACAGTATGAAGACTGAACCTAGGGATTTCTTAAGATTCCATTAGGTATATTTTTTAAACCATTTATTTTTATTTATGTGAGACAGAGTCTCACCATATCTGCCCTCAGTAGAGTGCCGTGGCGTTACAGCTCACAGCAACCTCAGACTTCTGGGCTTAAGTGATTCTCTTGCCTCAGCCTCCCAAGTAGCTGGGACTACAGGCACCCACCACAATGCCTGGCTATTTTCTTTTTTTTTTGCAGTTGTCATTGTTGCTTAGCTGGCCCGAGCCAGGTTCAAACCTGACAGTGCTGGTGTACGTGGCTGGTGCTGTAACCACTGTGCTATGGGAACACCCCCAGACAACTTTATAAAGCCAGTATATCCTGATACCAAAGCCAAAGATGGAAGAATTATCTTGCTTACTGTGCTGTCCTCCAATTCATGAACAAAGTCTGTTTCTTCTTTTACTTGGATCTGCTTGGATTTCTTCCATCAGCACTGTATAGTTTTCAGCATATGAACCTGCAAGTTTTATTAGATTTAAAAACTAAGCATCTCAAAATGTTTGTTTTTAGGTGGTATTTTAAGACAATGGAACAGAAAAGAGAAGCAGAAAAAACTCCACAGAAATACAATCAATTGTTCTAATTTACATGTAGTTATTAGTAGTAACAGATATCCTCTGTAAACTCTGCCCAGGTTCCCCCCCCCCCGCCCCCCCGTAGCAACATTAGCATAACTATAGTGGAAAAGGACCAGAATACTGATATTTAACAAGTCACTGATCTTATTCAGACTTCCTGGTTTGAGTGTACAGGTTTGTGTACGTGTCTGTGTGTTGATTAAGCTTTATGAAATATCATCTGCATAGGTTTTGAGTCCACTATCAAGATTATTCACAGTCCCCACACCACATAGATCCCTTATGTTGGCCTTTTATAACCACACTTACCTCCCTCCAGATCCCCGCAAGAACACCCCAACCCCCCTCACTAATTCCTAGCAAGTACTATTCTGCCTTCTATTTCTAAAATGTTACCTAAACGGAATCTCACATGTTAGGAATAGCCATTTCCATGCAGTATAATTTCTTGGAGTTGTATGTCTTACCAGCTGTTTTTTTATGTCAAGTAGCATTCCACCATAGACTTGCAAATAGTTTAACCATTTGCCCTTTGAAGAACATCTGACCTGATTATAGTTTTTCTCTATTATAAAGCTGCAATAAATATTTATGTACAGGTTTTTGAGTGGCCACAAATTTTCAGGGAAGCAGAAGTGAGAGTTATTTTAAAAGAGAAGGTGCTTGGACACCATTGCTTGGATCAAGCTATACCTGAAGCCAGTCCATACATTAAATTTCTCGGGTACTATGAGGTTTACATTGCTTACATTGTTACTAACCAGTACTAACACATCAGATCTCAAATGAAGACTTCAGAGGAAGGGGTATGATTTGGGGGACAGTGTTTTATAAATGTACCTTAGATAAACATAAATATTATTAGAAATTGTTGTATGTAATATCAGGATAGCACAGAATATTTTTGTTATTGTAGTTTTAAAGTGTCCTCTCTTGATCCAGAAACACCAAACTTGACATAATTATAATTCTTAAGTATCACTTATAAACGGAGCTCATTTGGAAGCATATTTAGTGAGTGTACTATTTCCTTTTTTTCTGTTCTGGCCAGCTACCAAGGTCTCCTAACAAGAACTTCAATTAAAGTTTTATAGGAGCTGTCTCGAAATGCGAAATTTGAAACAGAGTTTATATCTGTGGACTCAATCTACTCTAGTTATAAAACTAAAATGTATAAATACATTTTGGTTAAAAAAAGGTAGTTTGAAAAACATTAGACACAACAAAACAGGTGATGGCCCCACAGACTCAGCCTCCTTCAGTCCTCAGGCTGTGAATCCAGCTCTAGGGGTGTGTGTTCAGGGAGAACAGAAGGCGGAGAGCACTGGGGAGATGCAGTGGTGGAAGGTTTCACATTAGGACATGTTATGTTATTTTGTTTCTTCTGTGACCTCTGTCCTTTTCTCATTATGCTATCAGTAAAAGCTGTCAAACACAAGAGCCTTGTTTTAGGAAATTCGATGAAGGAATGCTTCACTCCTTCGCCAGGGTAATGCTGAGAAAGATAACCGGGTACTAGAGAGGAGGTTCATAGAGGATGGATAATGAATAGAGATGAGGAATCTGAAGGTGTTCTCGCCCCCATCTCCATTTCCCAGAGGAATTCTCATAATCATTGGAAGAGACACCAGACTTTCTAGAGACATGGAGAGGTGGAGGGAGGCCTTGGGTTTGGATAGTAAGCACCCATTCTGTGGGATTGGAGGCTTTAGGCCCATCTGGTCACACCTTTGTACTAAAGGTGCATTTATATTTGTTAGTCTTGCACTTGTGTTAAGTCAGAGCTCTGCATGGGGCTGCAGGCACAGCCTAGAAGGATATGAACAGGGTCCCTGCTAACAGAAAATGTGGGGTCTTGAATAGAATTTCTCCCAATGTGTACCCTTTGCATCGGGATGAATAGGGAACTTGTTAGACAGGTTTCAGGGGGCAATCCAGGATATAAAAAAAGTCAACCTGGGAATCTGTATTTTCCTTTTAAAGAAACATCTTAGAAATCGCCTCAGTCCTCACAACTGCATTCTCACTATTTTACAATTCCATGATCATTCTGAAAAGCTGAAAACCAAAAAAAGTAAAATAAAAGAAAATTTAAGCTAAGAACAAAAACCCTGAGGAAGATCACAAAACCCTTCTCAAACAGCAGACACAGTTGGAGATACATCAAGGACAATCACTACTAACCTGAGAGAAACCAAGAACCTAGAGAATAGTCATCCCACGCTTCGTCTTTCTTTTTAGGTACTATTTGGGGGGAGGCAATTCACACCAGGACGCTCTCCCCACCACCCCCTCCACATAGATAGGCCCCTGGCTCTTCTCCACCAGGTCCTTCCTCTCCCCTTCCCTCCTGCCTCCCCACGCCCTTTCTCCATTCCTTCGGGCCCCTCCCGGCTTCCCAGGCTCCGGCTTAATGCCCATCTTCCTCCCCAGCCTGGGCTGGTTTAAGAGCTGGAGGCGTCCCCACCTAAGTCCGCATAGGGAATTTTGGGGTGTGGCGGACGCTAGACCTGGGACGAGTTTGGGGTAGCACCGAACCCCGCGGAGGGCTCAGCAACGCACCTAACACCGGCCCAGGTTCCAAGGCAGCACTCCCCGCACAGACCCAGCCCGCCCCGCGCCCCAAGGCTCTCACACGGCCCTCGCCTGCCCTGCAGAACCCAGGCGTGAAGAATCTGCCCTCCGCAGACTTCCGCGCCAACTCCCGAGCGGAGTGCTACGCATAGACCCAGGGCCCAGAACAGAAAGCCTGACGCGCCCTCGCCCCGCCCCGACGCGCCCTCGCCCCGCCCCGGCAGGCGCTGCTAAGAAGCTTCCCGACAGGCGCCGCGGCCGCCCCGGCAGTGACGTCACGGACGCGCGCCGGACGGAGGAGAGGACCCCGTCGCGACCTCATCCTCTCGGGTCGTTGAGCCAGAGCCGACCGAGTAGCCATGGCCCTGAGGCTTCTGAGGCTGGTCCCGGCGCCCACGTCCGCGCGGGTCCTGGCGGCGGGCGCCCAGCGCGTGGTGAGGGTGCGGCGGTGTGAGGGCGTGAGTTGCGGGCGGGAGCCCGGCCCCGTTGTCTCTCGGACGCAGCCCCTTCCCTACTCCCTGGCCTCCGAGCGGCGGCTGCCGGCGTCTCTCTGCGGGGACCCACTTTCCTTGAAACGTTTGATCCTTAGTTGTGCGCACACGCCAGAGGGGCCGCGAGCTCCTCTCGGCCTTTTCATCTCGGCTCCAAGCAGAGGCGCCCGTACCGAGGTGGTGGGTCGTTGGCTGCTCTGACGCGGACGCTAACTGGCCGATACCGCGCCCGCCGCAGTCACTGCCGAGGACGTGCGCGCTGCGGGTCCTGGGGCCGGCGCTCATTCATTACTCAATTCGCGCTACAGCTTATCGAGCGCCGCGTAAGCGTCAAGCCTTGCTAGGTGCTGGGGTGAAGTGATCTTGAGTAGAAACAAAACATTTGGGTTAGATTTGGAACTGTTAAAACTGCTCATGGTAGAGAACAGTGGGGTGACATTCGACACAGAGGAAACAAAAGAAGCTAGAGAACTGTGCTGGAAACATTAGGACACCTTTTTTTTTCTTTTAACGACAGTGGTTGTATCATAGCTTTTTTGCTTGTGAGTAGAGCTACATTGATGTCAAATTGTAGTGGGACTTAACCTTTGCGCTAAGAATTTTGATCACCATAGGACTTTGAACAGGGGAATGTAATAATTTTATCTACAAAATTATATAAATGTTTCTAGGAGGTAATTCTGGCTGCAGAAGAGAAGAAAGGGAGGTGGTCATCTCTTTAATGCCTGGTGTTCTGGAACCTTGGTTAGTGCAAGTGAGAGCCCCAGAGCAGAGGCGACACTCCGCTGTAACCTGCCAGCTGTGCAGACCCACCTCTAACAGTGTGTTCACTTCTGGGCGTTGCACTCAAAACGGGATGTGGGCAACTTTAGGAGGTCCTGAGGAAAATGAGTAAGATGAAAAGTGCATATATCTTGTTACTTGATGAATAATTAAAGGAATTGGAAATGGGTCATGGAAGATTAGTTATTTATATGATTCTAGAGGGCAGAAGGATGAGACTGAGAATGGGAAGGAGATTATAGAGAAAACTATCAAAACTCTGTCATGAAACACATTCTAAAGATTTGGAAGTCAGAAAACTATTGGTTGCTTGATACATAAGTTACTGTGTGTCTGCTTTGTGCCAACCTGAGGTATATTCGAGTTTTGGACACCAGTGGGGAAACAATTCATACATGGGTCAGAGGTAGCATATGTAAGAGAGTAATTAACTTCTGAAGTGCTGGGTCCCCCCAACTCCCCAGTTGCTCTACCCCATCTCTTCTCTTCCCCATTCCACTTGGCATCAGCTGCGCTGGTCTTTGGCTGATCCTTACAGTGTCCTTGCCTCTGGTCATTTGCACTTCATGTTCCCTCTGTCTGGAAGACCCTCCTCAGATGTCCACTTGGCCACTTCTTCACCAAGTTTGTTCAGAAGTCATTTTCTTGGTGAGGGCTTCTTGGCCACCCATTTTGATAAAACAGCCTGTCCCATATGCTATGACTGGGCCCATCCTCTGCTTCCGTCTCCACAGCACTTATTTAATATGCGCTGTTATTGCTTTCTTATCCTGTGGGATGGTTGTCTTTTGGCTCATTGTTGTCCCCATTGTCTAGAAAAGTGCTTGGTATGTGATAGGCCCTGAGTAAATACTTGTGGAATGAGTGAGCAAATACCACACAGTAGCTACAGATTAAGTAGTCTCAAACTGTTAGGACTTTGAGATTTTTGAAATATGTAGAGATCTCACCACCGTTTAATAGCACAATCCTCCGTGGCTGGACCTCTGTTGGCATTGCTGGCATTCCTCCAGTGACCCTTTTGATACACAGGTTCCCATTGTTTTCCTGCTGTGATTGCGTGTGCAGGTATTATTTATAAAAATGGTATCACATAGCACTCTCCCTGTTCTTTTTTTCTTTTAACCAAAGCCATGCTGTATTCAGATTTCCTCAGTTTTCCCCCAGTGTTCTTTTTCTCTTCCAGGATCTCATTTAGAACGCCACTTGGCATTTAACTACCGTGTCTCTGGGTTGTGTCAGTTTCACAGATGTTGCTTGTTTTTAATCACCTTGGCAGTTCTGAGCAGTTCTTGGCAGGTATTTGGTTTTTCAGTGGGACTTGCTAATGTCTTTCTCACGGTTAGATGGGAGTTCCTTCCTTCTTGGGAGGAAGACCACAGAGATAAAGTGCCATGGGTACACACTGTGAACGTGACTTAACATGGCAGGTGTTGACTGGCCATGTAGTTGAGGTGGTGAGGTAGTTTCCGCGCTGTAAATTTACTCTTTTTTCTTCCTCCTTCCATATTGTACTTTCAGCAGGAAGTCACTGTGTGCAGCCCACCCTTCAGGAGTGTTGAGTTTATGTTTCCTTCCTTGAAGGCAGAATATCAGTATGAATTATTTTGAATTCATCTGCATGGGCGATTTTTCTCTTCTCCCACATTTACTTATTTATACACACATTTATTTCAGCATATATTCATAGGTATTTTATGCTTTGGGTTATAATTCTGCTTTATTTTACTGCCCATGTTCTAGCTTTGGCCATAGGGTGGTTTTTCAGTTGGCTCCTGTATCCCTGTGACATCCCCGTTATTTTCTATGTGTGTGTGTGAGAGAGAGAGTGAACACATCCTTACTTTCTGGCACTACAAGATGGTCCAGGCCTAGAAGCGGTCATTTCTCCAAAGCGCCCTTCCTTTCACTGGAAGCTAGATCTGGATACTAGTGTTGTCCAGTTTCTGCTGGGACATTGCTTTTTCTGGGCCTTCTCAGCTGAAGTGGCAAGGAGATAAACTAATCTGAGTATGTGCAAATCTCTAGACATTTCTGTAACTATCTGTGTCTAAATTAAACTAAACATGAGTTCGTAGTAATCACGCGTAGATCGTCCCGGCTTTTCTCCTTGCTTATCTGAACACTTGGCTCCCACTGGTGGCCGTTCATTTGCTTACTTGCTGACTTCTAGTATACATCCTGCTCGTCCCTGAAGCAGTATTAACCTTTGCCCCTGTGGGATGCATTTTTATTAACTGGAGCACAGGGATTACATGCAGTTTACAGACTGTTCTCATTTCTTAACACCTTTCCCCCACCCCCTCCAGTGAGTGGTTTTGTGTGTTTGTAACACAGTGCATTGCTGTCACAGCCTGCCTTCTATCCTGGGATCCTCCTACCCAAATGCATCTTTAAAAACATACATGTTGAGTGGGCAGTGCCCGTGGTCCAAGGAGTAGGGTGTCAGCCCCATATACTGGGTGTGGTGGGTTCAAGCCTGGCCCCGGCCAAAACTGCAAAAAATATACATATATATATATATATATATATACACACACTCATGTTGAGGCTGGGCGCAGTCACGCCTATAATCTCAGCACTCTGGGAGGCTGAGGCGAGTGGTTTGCCTGTTCAGGAGTTATAGGAGAGTTCCAGGAGTTTCAGGAAAACTCGGTTTGCCGAGTTCAGAAGTTGGAGACTACCCTGAGTTAGAATGAGACGCCATCTCTAAAAACAGCCAGGCTTTGTGGCAGGTGCCTGTAGTCCCAGCTACTCAGGAGGCTGAGGCCAGAGAATCGCTAGAGCCCAAGAGTTTGAGGTTGCTGTGAGCTGTGACACCATAGCACTCCACCTAGAGTGACAAAATGAGACTCTCAAAAAAAAAAAATCATGTCGAATTCATTCTTTGTGCTGTAAAGTTCTGTGGGTTTTGACAAATGTATTATGACAGGCCTCCCCCATTACAGATCATAAAGAGTCGTCTCAGTGTCATAGAAAATCCCCTGTGTCTTGTGTATTAATTTTTTCCTCCTTTTCCCAAACACCTGACACCAGATATCTCTTTACCATCTCTGTAGTTTTGCCTTTTGGGGAATGTCATGTAATGAGACATATAATATAAATGTCACCTTGTCAGATTGCTTTTTTTTACTTAAAAATAACATTTAAGATTCACTTGTGTCTCTGTGGCTTGCTAACTGATTTTTTTTTTTTTAGAGACAGAGTCTCACTCTATTGCCCTCCATAGAGTGCTGTGGCATCCCACAGCTCACAGCAATCTCCAACTCCTGGGCTTAGGCGCTAACTGATTTTTTAAATCACTAAATAGTGTTTCATGAATGGATGTCCCACACTTTTATCTGTTCAGCTATAGAAGAGCATCTTGGCTGCTTCAGGTTTGGGCAGTTATGAAAAAAGCTATTATAATTGTGTCATGCAGATGTCTTTGTGGAAATACAAGCTTTTGCTTTTTTTATACCAGTCAGGTAATACCTAGGGCAGTGATTACTGGATTATATGGTAAGTCTCATCTAGTAAGCATTCCTGGTGGTCCACATTCTGGTCAGTACCTGGGGTTGTCAGGTACTTGGATTTTTAGCCATCCTAACAAGCATATCGTGGCATCTCTTTTTAACTAGTTATTTCCTAATGACTGGTGGTGTTGAGCATTTTTTCACATGCATATTTGCTATCTGTGTATCTCTGATTTGTGAGATCTGTTCTCATAATATTGCCCATTTTTAAATTGAGTTGTTTGCATTTCATTCTTTGTAAGCTGTTCCCCCCACCCTTCTGTAATTAAATCAAGATTGAAAAAGTTCTCCATATATATTTTAAAGTAACCTTTATTTTTTATTCTATAATAAGATATTTTATTATTTTAGTAAGTACTTAGTACTCTATAATAGCAGTATGCTTTACTTTTTTAACTACTCTTCTGTCAGATATTAAAGGGTTTCCGTCTGATTTTATAGACTGCATGTCACTGAGTGTCCCTACAGGCACAGCTTGGCATGGAGCCTTGTGTGCCCCTTGGTGCTGGGAACCGGGATCCTCAGGCTTGTTACTGTTAGCAGTTCAGGGTGGCACTCACTTTCTTGTCCTGACACTGCACATTATCATTTCTAAAAGATCAAATATTTCCCGCTTCAACACATGAAAAAATATTTTCTCCTTGTTAATAGTCTTTTCTTTCTTTCTTTCTTTTTTTTTTGTAGCAAGGTTGAGCACTTTGTCATGTGGTTATTGGCTATACACAGTGTCCTAAAAGTCACCATACATAGGGAAAATGGGAAATTATAGCTTAGTTTACCTTTATTTACAAAATAGTCTCTACGTTTTGGCCACTACTTTCTGCACACACACATGAAATTGTCTCTTCCACAGTGGCAGACACGTTCCAGGTTATCTGGTTTCCTGTGTGTGAAGACTTTTGGGACACCCTGCATTTAATACTTTAAAATAAGCTGCACTTCTGCCCTTGATCTATACAATCTCTGTACACTAAGGCTATAATTCTACCGTGTTTGTTGACGTTTTTCAGTTAATGCCTTTTGATTATACTAGCTTTCATTTGTTTGGAGGATAATTTTGGCTTTAATGTGGGGAATAGATTAGGGCTGCTGGACAGAAGATAAAGCAGGCCGTGCCTGGCTGGGGAGGGACGTGGGGAGGGCTGGGGGACACATTGCATCAGAGATTGGAGAGTCAGGGTTCTGTGTGTGATCTGGAGTTTGAGAAAGGAGGAAGACACCAAAGACCACTCTCAAATTTGCTCTCTTTTGCTTGTTGGGTAGTGGTTAGTCCCTAGTGGATAGTGGGGGAAAGCAGACTTGGGGGTCAGGGCGTGGGTGCTGCTTTTCAGTGTTAGGACTGTTAGTTTTCAGGGGGCTTTGGGACATCTAGGTGGCACAGTTTAATAGGCTGTGGTCAGGAGCTCAAGACAGAAGCCTGGACTGCAGAAGGGTTTCCCATTCCCTGCCCCTAGCCCCTTCCCCTGCCCTTCTTCTATCCATCCATGCCATTTTTATTGAACACAGTAAGCACGTTCAGTAGAAGTTTCAGACCCCGTTCCAGGCCCCAAGGATGTAGCATTCAACAAACAGACAATACATCTGCCCTGTGGAGCTTGCAGGGCTGGGGGTGGGAAGGAAAACACATTCTTAAATTAGTAGGTATAAAGATATAGGTGTTGACATTTTTATCACCACTGGGCTCTTGGTATTCTAACATAAAGGTGCTAATGCCTGGAGTGAACAGAATGGTCACATTGTGTGTCGTGTGGTGTTGTGTTTTTTAGGGAAGAATCCACACCAGTGTACGGTGTGAGCTGCGCTATGGACCTTTGGCGTACCTGCTTGGTGAAAGAATAACCAAAAAACTGACAAAAAACAGCAAAGTGATAACTGTGGATGGCAACATATGTTCTGGGAAAGGCAGGCTTGCAAAAGAGATAGCGGAGAAGCTGGGTATGCATTTTTGTTGTGCAGAATCACATCTTTTTCTGAGATATGTGGCTGCTTATCACATTTGGACTTTAATATTGACTAGATGGAATTGGGCCTGAGGTGGGTGTTTTACATTTTTGTTGATTGTAAAGGCTATTTTTAATCTTTCAGATTTGGAAAATTAAAAAAACTATACTAATTGTTAATTTAAATTGAATTTTTATCTTGGTAGTGTAAGCAGTACACTTCTAATAAACTGTCGTATTTGAACTTTTTGACAGTCTCTGAGACCCAGAAAGCTGTTACTGCGCTCATGTGCAGATGGGTAAACTCAGTGAGATAAGCAAAGCCACTCACACAGGGGGCTCCTTCCAGCAGGAACTCGGTGCAGGGCAGGTCTTTAGCTCATGTACACGCTTTTCACATGTGCTCAGGTGTGCTGTCTTTGGTACCTTGCGTGTTCCTTGTGTACACTGTGAAACACAGGTACAGGGGCAGCTTTCACCATGTTTTCAGGGACAGTTCCTGGTGATGGGATTCAGGTGGGCTGTGTGTCTTACTCGGTTCGTGCTGCTGGGTGGTGGGAGGGAGTGGTCCACGTGAGGCCTCACGCAGCTGTTTGTCTTCTCAGACATGAAGCACTTCCCTGAAGCGGGGATACATTATGCAGACAGCACTACAGGAGATGGAAAACCCCTTGATGTGCAGTTCAGTGGGAACTGTAGTTTGGAGAAATTTTATGATGATCCAAAAAGTAATGATGGCAACAGTTACCGCCTGCAGTCCTGGCTGTATGCCAGCCGCCTCCTACAGTATGCGGACGCCCTGGAGCATTTGCTCAGCACAGGTGGAGTACCCTGGGCAGGTGGCCATGGGACGTGGTCCATACTTGAACTCTGTACAAAAGTCAGCCGTTTAACATTGTCACTAAGTACAGCTTTTCTTTAGGGATATTTAATGGGGTAAGTTCTATCTTATCAAAGATTATAAGTTCCCTGAAATCCGTGTTTTTTTGGCTTCAGAATAAAATTAACTTAATATTTCAATGTTGCACACTTCAGTGAGATTTATGGACTGTATGGGACTTTCATGCCAGTGTTTTAAGCACATAAGTGAACTGTGTCAAAATGATAGAGGAAAGAGAGAAGATGGAAGCCACTAGGAGGAAGTGGAATCACACTTAGGAAGATGAGTGGGTGTCCCATAGTTCTGTGGATGACAACTAAATAGGGTTGTCTTGGAGGGTGTGGGGATGGTCTAGCATTTGTAAAGCCACATGGAAGAAGTCATCCTTGAGGGGATGGCAGAAGTAGGAAGCAGGACTCACAGGATGCCCTGGGCTTGTGCTGGAAGAGGGGCTGTGTCCTGGAAATTATCCAAAGCTGGGGACAAGTGGACAGGGGCTGTGTGTTAGGCAAGGTCCAGAGCCTGGCAGATCAGCACCAGAAGTCAGGCAACAAAGATAGGAGAAGAGGGAGGGTGGCCAGATGGGGCGGGAACGCAGGTTGTGAGTGTGTCCAATGAGGGCAGCTCCTGCCAGGGGCCGCGTCAGTGTCCTGGGAAGCGGCAGCCCAATCCCACAACATCCTGGAATTGGGCAGCAGGTGCACTGCTAGTTGGTGGTCAAAACTGCCCTGCTGTGTGGCTCTGAATTCACAGGGAGAAGCACACAGCATGCACATGTGTAGGAGAGAGGGCGACTGTGTGAGGTCTGTGCATTGTGTCCTGTGTGGCCAGTGCTCCTGATGGGCTTGTTGACACACACAAGCTCAGCTGCATGAGTGGCTTCATTGGGTCTGGGCTATAAGAAATATATTTCTAACCACACCCCTGGATAGCCAGTGGGGCTGGTTCACAAAGCTGTGTCCAGGTCCCCACGTATAAAGTATGTGTCCCTGAAATATGGGGTAATACTCTATAATCTCACAGTCCCATAGGTGTTATTGTCTTGCTTTTTTGTCGTTTTATTAGTGATTCTTTTTTCTTATGTGAATGTAAGCCTTGATTTTGGTTAGTGTTAGTCCTAAAGAAAAACTGTGGCCTGCTGTCCACCTCTTGAACCCTGTACTGGGACCTAGCTCTTAGGAGCGGGGTTGGGGGCTGTGCTCACAGGGCTTTCAAGTTGACTCCAGACTCCTCCCGAAACGCACTTGAGTTTTGTCTCTTGTTTCTTAAAATTAAAAGGAAACATTTTTCTAATTGAATAAAATCAGTTTTCCATTTGTACTGGCCCTTTTGTGGGCCAAGTCGTTCTAGGAGCTTGGGACGTCACAAAGAGGGAAGCTTATATTTTAGTAGGGGATGAGGACTCATCCAGGAACAAGTGTGTCAGGTCCTGAGTGAATGAGGAGTGGTCTTACAAGGGGCCAGGAGTGGGGCTGGGACTGTTCTCTTGGGGGAAGGTTAGGTAAGGCTTGGGTCCAGGCACAGAAACCACAGGAAAAGGAGGCGGGACCTGGAGACTTCACTGCTGAGCTGTGTGAATATCTGCAGGGGGCTGGTGTGATAGCAGCGCTGAGTGAGGCTGGGCCAGGCTCGGGAAGTGGCGTGGGCACTGTGGGTGGGACAGATTGTTTAAAACAGAAGCACTTAATGAAACACTGTCATATTGCTAAAAACTGAAAAGGTATTATAGTTTTAAAAATGGTTTTCAACTTCATATATGTGTATACCCTTTCGAATGTATTTGGTATAGAAATGGAATTGTAAATGACTTTTTATTTTTTTTTGTAATGAGATGACAGAGTTTGCAAAGTTGTCCTCCTGGCTCCTGATCTTCGTTTTCCTGTTTCCTTAGGACAAGGGGTGGTGTTGGAGCGTTCCATCTTCAGCGACTTTGTCTTCCTGGAGGCCATGTACAAGCAGGGATTCATCCGGAAGCAGTGTGAGTTGGTGCTGCAGGGAGGTCGGGCGTGTGGTGTGCGTGATACTTGCTTCACAGCCGGCGTGTTTGTGAACGTCTGTTACAGGGTGGGTAGGGGCCATTGCTGGGAAACTTCCACAGGAAAGGGGTCTCGCGAGGTCCTTCTGCTTCTCTGCCTCCTAAACAGGTGTTTTTTGTCCTGTCACAGGTCCCTGTGCAAACAGTTGGGCCGGGTGCATGCACAGCTTGACCCTCAGCCCCCACTGCCTCCCCCAGCTCTCCTCATGCCACTTGCCTGACCCGTGCCTGCACTGCCTCCCGGCACCTGCAGGGGTCGCTGTGCCAGAGCTCCCGTTTCCAGTGTGTGACATTTTAGGGAGTTGTGATGTCCTGTTCTTCCTGTCCTTGCGCTACTACATTGTCATCGCAGCCCTTTCTTTTCACTGACTCGTTGCTGTTCTCAGGACGTGCGGGAAGGTAGCCTGTGTTGGGGGATTTGGGAAGGTCTGACAGGTGGCAATTGGCAAGGAATACAGAGTCCTGGAGAGAAGCAAGGTCACAGCTAGGAGTGTGTTGGGCAGTGCTTTGTGCGAGCCACTGGTTAGTCTGACTGGTGCCCTTTCATGTGTGTGCTAGGGTGGCTGGGACCGTGGCAAGCTGAAATCTGGGAGGTCAGAGTAAGTGTCATGGGTCCGTGAATGGGAAGATTCAAGCCATGGGGATGGGGCATTGCTCTTGGTCTGCTCACATGTCCTGGAGTGTAGGGAAGGTCCACCAAAGGGCTCGTGCTCCCTAGACATGCTGAGCAGCAGCTCATGTCAGCATGTGGCTCAGATGTGCCAGCTGTGCACTGCCAAGCCCTGTTTCAGCTGCCAGGGATGTGCAGATGCCGGAAAAGGCTCCCACAGTCCTGGGGTTTGGGGGTGTGTATTGAACCAGTGTGGGTGATTAATTGCAGGACAGTGTACTTAATGGCTCTGCGGTATCACTCCTGGGTATGATGGAAGCACACAGGACAAATGTCTGACTAGCTGGGAGATCGGGGACAGCATTGGTGATGAGTGGCCTCAGAGTAAGGGATATGTGGGGATGAGGAAGGGCCTGTAGTGGCCTCCGGTGTTCACAGGGGGGCAGGTGCTCCAGAGTACAGTGCTGGAGGGGCAGGCAGGGGCTGTGTGAAGAGGCTGCACCCCGATTAGGGCCCTGGAAAGTTGCCCTGAGAGTGCTGAGGAAGGGGGGAGGGGTACACAGCAGGGCTGTTGTTGGAGTTGTAGTTGAGAGTAATCCCAGGCTTTCATCTTAAGGTGCTTGGTAAGGAGCCCAGCTAGGAGAAAGTTGGGGTGGGATGCAGACAGCAGGGGGCTGGGACCAGGTGGAAGTGTGCTGCTGAGGGACATTGTGGACAGGCCTGGGTGGGACCTCTGAGGGACCCCTGGGGAGAGTGATGGGGCTTGCCTGGTGGGGGCACTACCCAGGAGGAAGGACACACAGGGTTAGCGGCTGGAGTGTTGGGTGCCCCCAAGCCATGGCTGATGCCTGCGGGCAATTTGGCACCTGTGCTGAAGTCCTGAGGACAGCCCTGGGCTGGAGATAGTTTGGGGCACAGCACTGCCAATGGGCTCACTTGTCTTGGGGAGTCCCCAGGGGTGATGGTGAGAGCTGAGACCAGATACCTGGGGGTGGTAGGAGCCCCAGAGATTGATGAGGGCTGGTCACTGGGATGCACTGTGGTGAGATGAGAAGCCAGTGCCAGACTTCACCTTTGGCATTTGCTGACTTTAGCCGGAGCCATTTCGGTGATGGGTTGGGGGAAAGTGAATGGCATTGGCTGAGGGGAAGGTGGCATATGACAGGTGTCAGCTGCTGAGGAAATGGGAATGCTGACAGAAGTAAGGAGAGTGGAGACTTGGCAGGAGCAGGGAAAGTAGGGCTTCGCCTTAGCGGTGGGAGGGGCTGGCCTTGTGGAGGCCTGAGGGTTAGGACAGTTAGGACACCAGCCTGGCACTGCCCACGGCGGCCTCAGTCTGGGGCTTTGGTGGCTCCTCTTTACTCGTGACCTTTCATGTTCCTCCTGTTCACATCGCCCCCGACCTTGGGTCAGAGGCCCATCCTGAGATGGCCTCCAAAGTGAGAGTTGTTAAGACTGGTCACTGGAACATTTTCTTTAAAACAAAATAACAGTTGTTTTTTATGGACCTTAGCATGATCACCTATTTGTCACTTCTGGAAGGTTCTACCATGTAGAAATCTGTGGAGGGTGGTGTCTGAGCCTTGCATCTGTGGGTGGTGGTTTCATTCCATGCACACTGGGACATATTCTCCGTGTGGGCGCCTGGCACAGTCAGGGTTGGGTGAGGACACCCCAGTGCAGGGCCCTCTTCAGCAGGAGCCCTCCTCAGCACCGTGGTTTTCGTGTGACCGCTGCCTGCATGGCATGTTCTGTCCAGAGGTAACTTCAGCAGCGTTACTTCTCAGCCTGCGTGGCTTTCGGTTTATTTTATATCCCTAAATCTGATTCAGCAGGTATTTCTGTGTAGCTGATTAAGTTTATGAAATACGCTGAACTTGGGTAGATGTAGCTTGACAGTTTTCAATTTAGTTATTTGAACAATAAAGTATTTATTTATTTTAGCAATAAAGTATTTAAAAGTGTTTTTTACTTCCTAAAGAAGACAAGACTCTTTTACTTATTATTACTATAAAAATAGGGCTCAATGTGTTCCTGCTCAGAGATGGACACTTGTATGGCCTCCACTTGGCCTTGGAAGTAAAGTGGGCTCTTACTGTGGCCAGGATGCAGTAAAGACTGTCTTTAAGTGCTATTTTAAACCCTGTATTCACTTTCTCTGGGTCTGATGCTTATCGTTTGTTAAGTACAGTGAAGGTGGGAAGTGCTGTTCACATAGCTGCCGTAGGCACCACAGTGGCTGTGTACAAATGCTTCCTGCGCTGGGAAGCCAGGCACATGCCACGTGTATGGTCAGCAGTCAGTAGCCAGGCTGTGACCATTGTGTGATCTGCAGACTGATACACAGCTCTGAGAATTTCATGGATCTTGCAGGAACTAGTATAGAGACAGTTTGGTGAGAGGTGGCAACTCTCCTGTGTGTTCCAGGTGTGGACCACTACAACGAGGTGAAGAACGTGACCATCTGCGAGTACCTGCCTCCCCACTTGGTGATCTACATCGACATGCCCGTCCCAGAGATCCAGAGCCGGATTCAGAAGAAGGGAGACGTAATTCAGCATTTTTTTTTTGTCTGCCCCCAATTTTTTTGATGTGGGGCAGCACTCAAAAATCCTGGTTATAGTAGCCCTCTAATCCTGGACAGTCCTCACTGGGAGGGGTGCCGTGGGGTGGGTCCTAGCAGAGAGGGCCCCTGCAGGTGGGTGGCCCAGGCCTGGGGCTGCTTCCTGCCAGTGCCCTTCAGCCCCACCGCTGTCCTCAAGGCCCCTCAGCTGGTCTCGTGAGGACAGGGAAGGCCCCTGCCTTTTTGTTCTCTAGTGGGGTTTTCACGTCCTGTCATTTTCCTGCAAGTTGAAGACAATTTCTAATCTTTCCGGTCACCACTCCCATCTGTTTGACTTACATTTTGCCTTTTCCCTTTTTCCTACTTAGTGATTCTATTATACAGTAGTAGAGAGTGATCTCCACATACATCCATTTATTCTTTTTGTAGTTTTGAGTCTTTTTGAGATCTAATTAGGTGGCCTGGAAACTCCATCTTCTGAAGTCACCCTCTGGCCCTCCATAGACCCTCAGTGTGAGGAGGGGACCATCTTCTCCCTGTGGCCTGTTCTTTTTTAGTGTTATGGTATTTTTACTGAAAGGAAATGTAGGCTGCCTGTCTGCTTGGCATTCCAGGGCCCGTCAGTGCTGGAGTTCTCATGGGTGTTCATTAATGACCTTGCTGATGGTAGGTTCTTACAGGGCAACAAAAAAGCCCATTTGTCTTTCACCGTTACTGAAAGAGACCACCCTCCTACTTTCCTGCTCTCTTTCACTAGTAAGCACAGTGTGACGCCTGTCTGTGCCCGTTTATTGCTACCCTAACCTGTGCAAAGGGGATGCTCTTAAGTATGCTGTATAGTTTAGACTTTTCAAAAAGAGGGAACTGCAAGTTAAAAATATCTAATGGTTTATCAATGAAATAATTATAGATCCCTTTGCTTATTACACTGGCATTGAGGCAAATGAAGGCATCTCTTCAGAATTCTTTTGTTATCTGGGATAATAATATTTTAGAAATGATTCTAAGGTCCGAAGTAGAGCTGTCAGCTTTTCTATTTTTCTAGGTAAAATCTTAGGGGCACGTTTTGTTGCCAGCTGAGATAACCACACTTTATAAAGAGACGTATGTCACTAGTGGTGTGTGTTCTTACTTTGAGTGTGTGATGTGCTCATGGCTGTATGTTGCAGCCTTTGGTCATAACATCCAAAAACCACTTCTTCACTCTAAGAAAACAAGCAGATTTTACTTAACATTTTTTTAATATTAACGAGTTAAACCTCTGAGATGGCTGTGTCTTTTATGTTGTATGTTGTGTTTATAATATAGTAGAGTTCTTTGTATTATTAGCCTTCATTTAATCTCATGTTAGTGGAACAGGCCAACAATAGTGAGTTGAGGGCATGTTGCCTGCTTAGTACCTTGTGGATATCACTTGCTTCACTAGTGCTGAGGACCTCCCAGGCAGGGATCCGCTCCAGCCAGGAGGATGCAAAGATTGGCAGATGTCTCTGCTCCATCCAAGTCCTTATCAAAAAATAAAACCCCAATTTTAGTATATGCTCCTCTTTTTTGACAGATGAAGATGAAGAGCTGCCTGTGTTGTGCTTTTCTCTGTGCCTGGTCTTGTTGGTGGAGTTACAGGTGTTCAATAAATACTTTTCTTTCTTTCTTTCTTTCTTTTTTAAACACAGAGTCTCACTCTTTTACTGGGTAAGAGTGCTCTGGCATCGTAGCTCACAGCAACCTCAAACTCCTGGCTGGTCCTCTTGCCTCAGCCTCCCAAGTAGCTGGCACTATAGGTGCCCATTTCTATTTTTAATAGAGACAGGGTCTTGCTCTTGCTCAGGCTGATCTCAAACTCCCAATCTCAGGTGATCCTCCCTCCTTGACCTCCCAGAGTGCTGGGATTACAGGCATGAGCCATTGTGTCAGGCCAATAAATAACTCCTTGAATGGTGTTTTTTTTTTTTTTTTAACAGCTTTAGTGAGGTATAATTTAATTTATACTCTGTGAAATTCATCCATTTTAAGGGTACAACTCAATGGTTTCTAGTACATTTACTAGGTTTTTGTAACTGTCACCCAATCCAATTTTGGGATATTGTCCTTGTGTTATAAGTTGAAACAGTGGGCCTGATGGTTCCTCATTTCCTTCCTCTGTCCTGCCCACAAATACTTACCAGGCTTGACTGTGCTGGCCACTCTGGTGGTGCCGCGGGCTTGGCATTGAGCAGAGTGCACAAAGTCCTTGCTCCAAGAGCTCCTGTTCAGATGGGAACTCTCAGTAAATAAGGAAATAAGTAAGAAACATGAAATAGAGGTCAGTTCCATGGAGAAAACACAACGGGGTGAGAAGATACAACAACAGCCTTTGGTATTGCCAAACTGTAAGGAGTTTTAGATACTGAAATCTGCCACTCCCAATTGAATTTTTCAATTTCTGAAATTGGCTTAGCATACTTTAGATGATGATGGAGGTAAGAACCAGAGAAAGTGGGAGGGTTGGGGTGGGTGAGTGGGTGGTGGAGAGGGCAGAAAGGCAGAGGGTCACACAGCAGAGGTCACACAGAGAGGATCGGGGCAGAGTGGAAAGAGTGGTAGAACAGAGAGGGTAGAGAGGGTCGGGAGAGAGGAAATTGGCACTGAGGCCTTTTATGTCACCCCAGAGTCCTCACAATGCTCAGTGTGAGTTGGAGGAAAACAGTGCTCACTGTTGCCAGGCTTTCCACACGCACAGGTGAAGGAAAGCAAAGACCTAGTGGTTCTCACTGTGACTTTCTGCTTTTGTTTAGCCACATGAGATGAAGGTCACCTCTGCCTACCTTCAGGACATTGAGAATGCCTATAAGAAAACCTTCCTCCCTGAGATGAGGTGAGCCACGCAGGTGTATTGGACTCAAGTTTCTGTTTCTCTTTCTCTTTCTTTCTTTCCCTTCTTTCTTTCTTTTTCTTTCTTTCTTTCTTTTTTATTCAGACAGAGTCTCACTCTTGCCCCCAGGTAGAGTGCCATGGTGTCATCACAGCTCACAGCAGCTTCAGAGTCCTGGGCTCAGCAGTCCTCCTGCCTCAGCCTCCCAAGTAGCTGGAACTATAAGCACCTACCCCCTAGTAGAGACAGGGTCTCACTCTTGCTTAGGCTGGTCTTGAACTCCTGAGCTTAAGGGATTCTTTTGCCTCGGCCTCCCAGAGTGCTAAGAATATAGGTTGAGCCACCACACCCAGCTGTCAGTAGTTTTTTTGGCCCTAACAGCCCAGCAAGTTTTCTCTGTAATGGGTGTTGTCTGGGGCCTTGTAATCTGATATTTATAAACAAGAATCATAGGAGACATTTCAGTTTGAGTTTTGGAGATTTTTCGGTTTGTTTTTGGTTTGCTTATTTTTGCTATTTCTGTTCTGTATAGATTTTTAAAGTCTTTCTAATGTTAGAAGGAAACCCAAGCTCTGCTCCATGATAATCTTAGAGAAGTCATGTATGTTTACTTGAGGTGGCGACTAAATGTTCATGTTTGCCTGGAAAGACTGCTGAGCAGTCCTCAGTGGCCACAGAGGAAGTCTGTGAGGGTGGGCATCTCTGTGTACGCGTTGGTCAGTGTCAGCAGGAGGCTCTGGAGTAGATGAAGTGAACAACACCAGACCATGTCTTTTCTTACTTCCCTTTCTGTTTATCTCTTTATTGAAAGCACAAGGAGCATGCTTTTCTGCCCACTCTGTAGCTCATCTTTCTGTGTTCTTTGAGCCTTGTGTCTGTGTAGGGATTGTCACCTAGGTCCAGTTAAATGCAGATTCTTTAAATAATGCTTTCACTGAAGGTTTTTAGTAGCATTTCACATTTTTAAAAACTAAGATTTTTGATACCTAAAGATCTCATGCCTTTGTTTAAAATTTCAAGTAACTGTAAAATTGTGAATAAAAACAAAGTAAGGTACAGTAATTTGGGAAGAAAATTGTTCTTTTTAAATTGAAAGTTTTTTTTTTTAACCCTAAGGGTTGATGGTTTTATAATCTCAAATATTTGCCAAGGGGATGCATAGAGCTGTGTGAGTGAATGGTATAAACAGATGCAGATCACTTAGAATGTCAGCTTCCTAACTTCCTCTGGGGCATCACTGAGGAGCTGCCTCGTGAGCTCTCAGGGAGGGGCTCAGCTGCAGCAGCAAGGTGGCACTGGCTCCCTGCCGCAGCCCAGTGGGCCGTCACCTGCAGCAGCAAGGTGGCACTGGCTCCCTGCCGCAGCCCAGTG